CTGGCCCAGCTGGTCCTGCTCCAGGACCTTCCCGAGGCGCTCCAGCACGTCCTCGCCGCCCCACAGCAGCGAGCGCAGCAGGTCGGCGCGGCTCAGGCCCTGGCCGAGCTGGCACACCGTCTCCCGGCACAGCAGCCCCACGTGGCCCGGGTACGTGACGAAGCCGTGCAGCGCCTCCACGACGCCGTCCTTGTCGCGCACCGACTCCAGGATGCTGTTGAAGAAGTTGCACACGGCGCGCAGCACGCCCTCCTCGTCCTCGTCCATGGTGATGCAGGCCGTCACGATGGCCTCCGTCAGCATGTTCTTGAGGGCCTCCTCCTCCTGGCTCAGCACGGCGTCCACGTCCGTGCTCAGCAGCCCGCGCTCGATGGTGACGCTCATCTTGCGGCGGATGTGGCCGCGTTCGTCCAGCAGGCCGTAGCTCAGCTTGAGCACGGCCTCCAGCACGTGGCCCATCTTGACGGCGGCCACGCCCTCCAGGCCCAGCTGCTCGGCCAGCGCCAGCGTCGGCAGCGACCCCATGGCGGCCACGTCCACGCCGGGCAGCTCGGCGGCCACCTGCTTGCCCACCACCATGCCGGCGTGCGAGAGCTGGCGCAGCATGCGCGAGTCGATGCTCATCTGGCCGGCCGTGGTGGGCGCGGTGGCGGTGGCGGACAGGTGCGGACGCATCAGGCGCAGCTCCTCGGGCGTCACCTCGAAGCCCTGCAGCGAGAACTCGAAGCCGCCCTCCTCGGTGTCCTGCAGGTCGGGCGCCACGAAGCGCAGCCCGTCGGCCGTCTCCACGATCTGGCCCGGCACGAAGGTGACCCTGTCGCCTGTCTCGATGACGCGGCCCGGCACGAAGCGCGGGCCCTCGCGCGTGTCCACGATCTGGCCCGGCACGAAGCGGGAGCCCTCCTCCTCCGTGCAGATCACCTGGCCGGGGATGAAGGTGGGCCCGGCCTTGGTCTCGATGATCTGGCCGGGCACGAACCGCGGCCCGTCCACCGTCACCACGGTCTGGCCCGGCAGGAACTTGGGGCCGGCGTGCGTCTCCACCACCTGGCCGGGCACGAACTTGGGGCCCTCCTTGGTGTCCACCACCTGGCCGGGCACGAACTGCTCGCCGTGCTCCGTCATGACGAGCTGGCCGGGCACGAACACGCCGTCCATCTCCATTCCGGGGACGAACTGCACGGCGCCGGAGGCGCTCTTGATGAGCTTGCCCTGGATCACCTTGCCCGAGGGCAGCCCGTTGGCCTTGCCGGGGAAGAACTCGACGCCGTGCGAGGTCTGCACCATGTGGCCCAGCACCTCCTCACGCTGCTCCAGGGCGTTGGCGGCGCCGGGGTCGGGCAGCGCGTTGTGGAACACCACGTCGCCGAGGCTGGCCGCCGCCGTGAAGGACAGCACCGTCACGCCGTCCGCCGCCACGACGAAGGACCCGGGCGAGAACTTGACGTCGCCCTTGGCGCTCTTGACGACCTGCCCCTCGATGAACTTGGGGCCGTCGGGCGTGGCGAGCGTGGTGCCGGGCACGAACCGCAGGCCGGCGTCGTCGCGGACCGCCACGCCGGGGACGAACTGCGTGGCGTTGCCCGCGTCGTCCGACACCGTCTGGCCCGCCACGAACTTGGGCCCGTCGGGCGTGGCGACGGTCTGCCCCGGGATGAACCTCAGCTCGCCGTTGTCGTCGCGAGCGCTCTGGCCGGGCACGAACTCCCACTCCTTGTCGCCGTCGCGGTCCACCAGCACCGCCTGCCCCGGGAGGAACAGGGCCTCCCCCGAGGCCGTCGTCAGCGTCTGCCCGGGGACGAAGCGCGGCCCGCCGGCCGTGCTCACGGTCTGGCCCACCACGAACTCGCGGCCGTCGGCCACCACCTGGCCGGGCACGAAGCGCGGGCCCTCCGGCGTGAGCACCGTCTGGCCGGGCGCGAAGCGGCCCTCGCCCTCCGCGCCGTACAGCATCTGGCCCTGCACGAACTTCTGGCCGTCTCGCGTGTGCAGCGCCTGGCCCGCCACGAACACCTTCTGGCCCTCGACCTCCACGGCCTGGCCCGGGATGAGCAGCGGGCCGTCGGGGGTGTGCACGGTGAGCCCCGGCATGAACACGGGCCCGCTGGCTGTCTCCACGGTCTGGCCCGGCACGAACACGCGCCCGCTGGGCGTGTCCACGGCCTGCCCCACCACGAGGCGCTGCTGCGCGCCTTGAGCGCCTTGCGCCGCCGCGATGTCCAGCCGCAACGCGTGCACCTTGCCGCCGACGCACACGGCCTCGCCCTTGTCCAGGCTGTTGACGAGCTCGGGCACCTCCTCGATGCGCGGCAGGGCGTTGAGCAGCTTGCCGCTGCCGTCGGCGGCCTCCTCCATGAAGACGGCCTTGACCTCGGCCTGGCGGGGCAGCGCGCCGGGGTCCACCAGCTGCACGGCGGCCTGCACGGCCGCGTCGGGCTCCGCGGTGAGCGGCGTGAACGGCGCCACGGCCTGCACGGTGGGGAAGCCGCCCACCTCCTCCAGGAGCGCGGGCTGCTGCACGATGCCGGGCGAGGACGTCTCCAGGTCCACGACCACGGCGGCCACCTCCACCGGCACGGGCAGGGTGGTGACGGTGGCCTCCCCGACGACGGGGGCCTCCTTGTCGAAGGCCGGGGCGTCGAACGCGCCCACCAGCGGCTTGGCCAGGTCCTGCAGCTCCCCGGTGGACAGGTAGAGGTGCGCGTCGGTGCGCAGGTCCTCGGGCTCGAAGCGGTCCCACTTGCGCGGCTCGCTGGACTTGGCCTTCTTGCGCTTGCGCTCCTCGCGCTCCGCCTGCATCTTGACCTTCATGACCTTGGCCGAGTGGCGGCGCCGCTCCTCCTGCGCGGCGAGGTTCTCCTTGTCCTCGAAGATGCGCTTGCGGTCGGCCAGGCCGGCCTCGCGCTTCTGGCGGCGCTTGCGGTCCTCCTGGTCGCGCTGGTACGCCACCTCGCCGGGGCCCTCGCCGTCCCAGAGGTCCTCGCCGTCCGTGGCGGCCGCCCAGTCGCGCACGTCCAGCGACACGCTCTTGCCCTTGCGCAGCGTGAGCAGCAGGTGGTCGGCGTCGCGCGCCAGCATCACGTCGCGGACGTCGCCGTCGCGCACGGCCGCCTCCAGCCGCGACGGGAACACCAGGCTGGTGCGCCGCTCGTGCACGGTGTACACGTAGGCGCGCGCCGCGGCCGCCTCGCCGTCGGCGGCCGGCTTGGACGCCAGCAGGCCCTGCAGCTCGCCGCCCTCCTCCAGCACGGGGAACACGTAGCGGTAGTCGTCGCGGAGGACATGCCGGCGGTGCTGCAGCCCCAGGAACTGGTGGTGCTCGTTGCCCTCCGACTTGTGCGTGATGTGGCAGTGCTCCTTGTCGTGCTGCACGCCCACCAGCACGGGGATGTAGTGGTGGCCGGGCAGCCCGATGGCCTTGCCGGTGATGCGGCAGAAGCGGCGCGCGTCCGCGGGCGAGATGGGCGGCAGCAGGGGGAAGTAGTTGGGCTTGGGCAGCGCGCGGCTGCCGCCCGTGATCCGGCAGAACGGCATCCTGGTGGCGTCTTGGCGCCGCTTGGCCCGCTACACTGCTACGCTACGGGGCGACGCGTCGCGGCCTCGCATCGTCCGCGGGCCACGGCCGGCAGTGCGGACGCTGCGGACGCGGCGGACGCGGCGCAGTGCGGCACTCGGAAGGGCTGGCGGCACTAGCACGGCGGCACGGCACTGGCGGGGCGGCCTCCGTCGGCTCGGGTTGCGCGGACCCTCTCCCTCTCCCTCGTCGGTTGCGCGTCGCGTCTCGTCTCGAACTGACCGCGCAGCGCCGCCAGCCACGCCAGGACCGCGGGGCCGCCCCGCCCCGCCCCGCCCCGATCCTCCGCACCCCTTCCCCCTCCCCCGGTATTAATACTGGGCTGCGTCCAGGACGCGCTCCCCGCCGCGCCCAACGCGCTGCCTCTCCGTCGCACCCACCGGACTGAAATAGCGAGTCGGACAGAGACGCAAATAGACCGACTGTTTTCGCCCTGCGGCTTCGCGGCTTCGCGCGCCTTGCAGTGGGCCTGTCACCCTGCCGGCGGCCACGGTGGCCAGCCCCGCGAGTGCGACAAGGAGGCCCATCCGTCAGGCATCCAAACGGCGAGGCACGGCCAGGCACGGCGAGGCCTCGCGGTGGAGAACAAGGGCGAGACAGAGGCAGAGAAAAAAGAGCACTCTAAAAGTCGTATAGTCTCTATATTGTGGTGAAAATTCTCTACATTATGCACTCTAAAGGTTGGATAATGAAGACTATGGTGAAAATGTTGGTGACGATGTTACAAAGTCAGCTGCACCACCATAATTATAGAGAATTTTCACTATAATATAGAGAATTTTCACCATAATGAAGAGAATTTTCACCAAAATATAGAAAACTTTCACCATAAAGAAAATTTTTACCATAATATAGAGAATTTTCACCATAAAGAAGAGAATTTTCACCTTAATGAAGAGAATTTTCACCATAATGTAGAGAATTTTCACCGCATAATATAGAGAATTTTCACCATAACGTAGAGAACCTTCTCTACACAACTTTTAGAGTGCGCTCAAACAGGTGCCTATGTCTCCGCGGAGTAATGCCCGCAAGTCGCGATCAATACGCGGCCGCCGTGTTTCATTAATACCCGTTGCTGGCACGGCCTGGCACGGCCGGCAGGCGAACCTAATGACGTGTAAATCAACGCACTGTCGACGATTAATTAAGACAAGTTGGCAAAAGTTCTGCGAGCGAGTCCGTTTTTGAAAAACGAACCGCGCTTCCATCCATTGTGCGCGCGGCCAAAGCGTTAGTGTGTCACTAGGGTTAAATGGCGTGTCTTTCGAACACTGCGCTGCAGCGAGAGAGACAGAGACAGACAGACAGACAGACAGACAGACAGACAGACAGAGACAGAATTCGTGGTCTTTGAAAGTGGAAGTGGGTGAGCAGATTGAAAAAGAGTAAATCAAGAGTGAAACCGAAAAAAAAATGGTCCTACCGCGCCGTTGGTAGTGTTGTTGTTGTTTCCTGTGATGCGAGTGTAAGGTGCCGGGGTGACAGGCACGTCGACATTCTCCTGGAAAACAAAATGCGTTTCTACATGGTCTACAGGTCTAATCGTTCTACGGCAACAAACAGCACAGTGTAGCGAGCGGCACAAGCTTCAAACAGGCGACACTCCGAAAACATCTCAGAAAGAAAACTCAGGACCCGCATTTTCAGTTCAGCGGCTACAGCAGGTAACAACGTCCAGAGAGCGCCGCGCCGAGGCAGCAGAGACTTCGTCGAGACATTTCGCGCCAAATCACTCTGAATCAATCCCAATCCCCTTCGCGGCGGTCCCGACGACCCCGCACTGTAAACACGGCACTGGACACGCGCCCAGAATACGACCCACTTCAAACATCCGCGTTGCACTTGACGTCCCAAACACGACCTTATTTCCCCCCTCCCTCCTCCCTCCCCCCCCTCCCTCCTCCTCTCTCTCTCTCTCTCTCTCTCTCAATCTCTCTCTCTCATCTCTCTCTCTCCTCTCTCTCCTCTCTCTCTCTCTCTCTCTCTCTCTCTCTCTCTCTCTCTCTCTCTCCACACACACACACCTACACACCTACACACCTACACACCGTTACAGAGCAACGGCACTCTAATCTATCCAATGTGCTTCATAACGAGGCGCAGGGTTCCGACTTTCGAAGTTGCGGTTTTTATACATCTGACGTGCTTAACTAATTTCCTGACAGGGGCGCTCAAAGGGGCGTGAAGCTTCGGATCCGCTAAACGCTCTGCCGCCGCTGGGCGTGGCCCGGCAGCCCCGCCTGGCGAATTCCCGAAACAAATAGCGAGCAATTTAACTTGCGCGGCTAGGAATGCCCGCCGGCCGGCCGAGCGATTCCGAAGAGGCGCTCCGTCGCTCCGTCTCCCTCGCACCCCTGCGGGACGCCCCGTGAGTGCGAGAGAGACGGCCGAGGGCGGCTTGGGGCACTGCCAGCCTCTTTGCGATCGTCAGCCGCCTCCATGAGCCATGAGCCATGGACGCCAGGCGTCTGCCGGCCTCGCGGGACATCAAGCCAAATCTGAGCACGGCGGACCACAGTGGGCCAGAAGACCGGTGGAGGCGGCCAAAACTCTAGACGCGTTTTGAGCTCCAGAGTCGCTTAACAGGCCCCGGACCGAACGTGTGACCCCACCAATGGATTGCTCGCTCGGAGAGCAATCCATTGGTGGGGTCACACGTTCGGTTCGAGTCCCATTCAGCGACTCTGGAGCTCAAAAAGCGTCGAGAGTTTTGGCCGCCTCCACCGGTCTTCTGGCCCACTGTGGGGTGGCCCCTCTACGTGCGAGAGAGCACGAACATGCATGAAGGGGCCCAATGGCGGGGGTGGAGCCAAGGGCAGGCGCGGGACCTCGGGGAACAACCATTTTCATAACCACTTTGCACACACACATACACACACAGCTGACAAACTGCAGGCCACAGTGGCAGGCAATCGTCCGTTAAGCTCCGTTAACGCGGACAATCAGTGTCACCGCGGCCTGCACTTGCAACGCCACTGCCAGGAAGTAACAAACAAAACGCCGCCTAAGTACCCTGGCCGCGCGCCACCGCGGCCCGAACCGCGAAAAGGACCTTTTACAGTGCGGGGTGCCTGGGCCAAGACCGGCGCAGGCAGCCAGAACTCGAGGCGCGTTTTGAGCTCCAGACTCGCTAAACAGGACTCGAACCGAACGTGTGACCCCACCAATGGATTCCTCGTTCGGAGAGCAATCCATTGGTGGGGTCACACGTTCGGTTCGAGTCCTGGTTAGCGACTCTGGAGCTCAAAACGCGTCCGGGATTTTGACCGCCTCCACCGGTCTTCTGGCCCACTGTGGGGTCGGGGAGGCGATCACGGCTGCGCTGTCGCCGAGGCTGTCGCCGAGGCTGTGGCCGGGCCCGCGGCCAGGTCGGCCAGGAACCGTTCGACGGCGGCGCGCTCGGGGCGCTCAAGGCCGCCAGCGACGCCGGCGTGACAGGAGAGGTAGCGCAGCAGGGTGCGCGCCGCGGCCGCCGCCTCGGCGCGGGTTGGCGACCCTGGAGACCCTGAGGGAGACCCTGACCCGGACGGCTCCCGCTGGCCGCCCCCGCCGCCAGGCCCGCCAACCCCGCCCTGAAAACAAGGCACGGCGCGCTGTAGTCAACACTGTTTCTATGTTTTCGTTGTTGACGGCTGTGCGCGAGGCCCGCGATGCACAGTGGGCCAGAAGACCGGCGGAGGCGGCCAAAATTCCGGACGCGTTTTGAGCTCCAGAGTCGCTAAATGGGACTCGAACCGAACGTGTGACCCCACCAATGGATTGCTCTCCGAACGAGGAATCCATTGGTGGGGTCACACGTGCGGTTCGAGTCCTGTTTAGCGACTCTGGAGCTCAAAACGCGTCTAGAGTTTTGGCCGCCTCCGCCGGTCTTCTGGCCCACTGTGCGATGATCCACCTGCGCGGCCGCTCGCCGTGCCAGCGCCGCTAAAGCGGCCCATAAAGCTGAGGGATGGCCGCAGTTTGGCGGCAAAAGCAAGACGCAGTTGCCGAACTGGGCGGCGTGCGCCGCGCGGCTAGCCCAGGTACACTGTCATCATCACCAGGGTGACGTCACCACGGAGGTGATGACGTCATCTCCGGCTAATCCTGGGGCAGACCACATTTTTTGTGGCCATGTTTACGAGCTCCGCACCGCTCGGCCTGCGCTGCTGCGGAGAGCGCCTGCGAACTGCGAGGTAGGCCGCCCGCCGCACAGCCGCGCTCGACGGGCCGGCCTGGAGCATTGCCACTGCCATTAAAGGCTAGACCACATGATCGTATACGGTACGACTCGGTCCTGGATCTTCCAGGACCGTCCTGGTTTCTCTCATGCTAAATGCATAGGAAAACCAGGACGGTCCTGGATCTTCCTGGAAGATCCAGGACCGAGTCGCACCATATATGGCATGGCGGTTCCCTGCACAGAGCGTTTTGCTCTTCTTCGGCATCCGGACTCGAACCACCGTCCCTCGGGCTCGGCGTCGAGCACGCTACCCTCCGACCTACGCCGCGTGGCTGTCAGCGAGTCGCGGCAGCGCGGGACGTCTTGCCAGCACGACGGAGGGCCATCATACGGCTCGGCTAAATGACAATAATATCCCACAACTAACTCGCCACACTCTTGGCACGCGCCGCCCGCAGCACCGCGGCTCTGTCTGCTCTGTCTGTCTGTCTGTCTGTCTGTCTGTCTGTCTGTCAGTCTGTCTGTCTGCCTGTCTGTCAGTCTGTCGTCTGTCTGTCTGTCTGTCTGTCTGTCTGTCTGTCTGTCCGTCTGTCTGCAGCGCAACACAGTGAGGAAGACACTGGTCAGCCGTTCTGTCCGGCGACCCAGTGACTCGCTGCGACACTGTATCGAGTACTGGCTAAGTATAGTGTAGTCCCCGTTGTGCCGGACGCGTGTGCCCCACCATCTATCTGCCCGACCATTCTCCCGTCCATCGCGGCAGCGCTCTGTCTCTCTCGCACTCGTGGGGCGTTCGCGGCAGTGCGAGAGAGACAGAGCGACTGCTCTGCATCAGCATGCCGCCGTCGTCGCCTCGTCGGGCTGCGTCTCGTAAATCCATCACCGAAGAGCCGCATCGTCCCTCTGTCTCTGTCGCACCCCCGGCACGGTCCGTGAGTCAGACAGAGACGGAGAGACAAGGCGCTGCTGGTGGCGCACCGGCACGTCGAAGTCGCTCACAACGTCCAGCGACGCACAGTGGGCCAGAAGACCGGTGGAGGCGGCCTAAACCCCAGACGCGGTTTGAACTCCAGAGTCGCCGAACAGGACTCGAACCGAATGTGTGACCCCACCAATGGATTCCTCGTTCGGAGAGCAATCCATTGGTGGGGTCACACGCTAGGCTCGAGTCCCATTTAGCGACTCTGGAGCTCCAAACGCGTCTAGAGTTTTGGCCGCCTCCACCGGTCTTCTGGCACACTGTGCCACGCTGTGCCACGCTGTGCACCACGGCCAGTGCGTCCTGAAGCACATCGGCTACCACCGGGTGCTGCCCCAATGTGGCCAAGGGAGGCTTGCCAGACCACGCCCCGCCCCGCCCATCCTGCCTTGCACCACTCGACCCCCCTTCACCCCGCGTGACTCACCAGACGAGCCCACAATGGACCAGCAGACTGATTCTGAGAGTCCTCTCCATCGCCCCGTCTCTCTCGCACTTGTTAGGCAACGCCCCATAAGTGCGAGAGAGACAGAGCGACGGAGGCGACTCTCGGAATCAGTCCGCTGAGGCAGGTCGTTGGCTGATTAATCGCATCGGAAGTCGTCACTCAACGAGTCCTTTCTCCACTTCGGTAAGGGAGAGTTTCCGACAGACACACCAAGCCCCCTTCGTTTTCTTCTAACAGTCCGCGGGTTTCAAACCGAACGCGTGACCCCACCAATGGATTGCTCTCCGAACGAGGAATCCATTGGTGGAGTCACACGTTCGGTTCGAGGCCTGTTCAGCGACTCTGGAGCTCAAAACGCGTCTAGAGTTTCGGCCGCCTGCACCGGTCTTCTGGCCCACTGTGCGTGGCCACGCTAGTCCGCGCCAGTCGCTACAAGTGGTAAGTACAAGCATCCGAACATGTCCGAGCGAGCACGCGAACACGCCAGCACCAGCTAGACTTGGCAGGCGGAGTGCTCCTGTCACTCAGACGGCAAGGCGACATCTCAATCCAAACAAGAAAACGAGAGCCAAGCAGAAAAGCGAAGAAAAAAGGAAAACACACCGACTCACCTCCATGACTTCGACGCCGCCCCATGCCTGCGACTGCTCTACGATGGTGGTGGTGGAGGTGGTGGTGGTCTTGGCCTCCTTGGCGGGGTTGCGGGGCCCGGCCGCCAGCACCCTGTTCAGCTCAGCGGAGAACGCCGCTGCAACATGCCACGCGCAAAAACCTTAACAATAACCAAAACGAGAAACTTCGAGGGGGTATGCACTCGCGTAATAGTCGGTTCACTCTATCTGTAATAGCACGCGTAATAATACGCGTAATAGTCGCGTATTAGTCGCGTAATAGCCGAAATTGTCAAAATTTTATCAATTTTGGTGTGTTTTAGGCCGTTTTTAGCTAAATTCCGATTAATTTGTGGCGTAATAGAGCGTAATAGCGTAATAGTCGGTACACAGGTTCAGAGAGCGCATACCCCCTCGAGAAACTTAAAAACAAAAACACTTCGGCTATTGTAAGTTTTTTTTTCTTTGAACAGCTCTGCGCCCTGAAAAAAGGAGGTTGATTTGTGAGCAGTCTGTTCGAGTCCCGTTTAGCGACTCTAGAGCTCAAAACGCGTCTAGAGTTTTGGCCGCCTCCACCGGTCTTCTGGCCCACTGTGCGTAGGCGGTGGAGTATCGAGAGTATCGAATGGCCGACGGCCGCGCGGCGTGTTGGCAGGTGGGGCGGCGGGCCACAGGCCTTGACCAACGAGCGCACGCGTTCGCGGCACGCCTAAAGGCCGTTCAACAGCCGCCACACTGGCAAAGTTCAAAGCCACCGTTCTAGAAACGCTAAGGACCCGCCGCCTTACGTCTGCAGAGGTCAGAACGTTCGCGGTGTCAACGTTGCACGCACCTACTTTCACAGTCCTCCTTCTTTCCACCAGCTCAGTTTATTGCGAGACCGGAGGAGGCGGCCGAAACACCGGACGCGTTCTGAGCTCCTGAGTCGCTAAATGGGACTCGAACCGAACGTGTGACTCCACCAATGGATTGCTCTCCGAACGAGAAATCCATTGGTGGGGTCACACGCTCAGTTCGATTCCCATTAAGCGACTCTAGAGCTCAAAACGCGTCAATAGTTTTAACCTCCTCCATCGGTTTTCTGGCCCTCTGTGACGCGGAGCCAGCCCTGGCTCAGCCTGGCTAGACCCAGGTGCCTCCACTGCTAATGGCGGCTGAAGGCTGAAGGGAGGCCCATTGCTGCGAGCCCTCTGCCCTTTCTCGTCCCTATTCTGGGCACAAGGTTCCGACAGCCGAACGATCCCTGTCTCTCTCGCACCCCTACGGGGCGCCCCGTGAGTGCGACAGAGACGTCGGTGGACAGGGGTTGGCTGCCGCGGCGCGTAGTGCGTTGGTGTCACTGGGTGGTATGCGCTTCGGCACGCGCTGGCACGTCACGGACGACACTGCCAGAAAAACCACTGGCCCAGACCGCCACCCCACAGTGGGCCAGAAGACCGGAGGCGGCCAAAACGCTGGACGCGTTTTGAGCTCCAGAGTCGCTAAATGGGGCACGAACCGAACGTGTGACCCCACGAATGGATTGCTCCCCGAACGAGGAATCCATTGGTGGGGTCACACGTTCGGTTCGAGTCCCATTCAGAGACTCTGGAGCTCAAAAAGCGTCTGTTGGTGCAGCCTTTCACCGTAAGACATTTACAGTGCAGAGAGCACCGCTCCGTGGAGGAAGAACGATCAGCCAACTTGCACCGGATGCAAAGGACACCCAAAGTCGCCACAAATCTACTTGTTCTTTGTTTGTTACCTGTTTTTCGTTTCGATGACATTTTTCCGCTGCTCCTCTACCAACCGTCGATGGAGAGCATTTCCCTGGACCGCAACCTGCAACAAGTGTGGGTGAGGGAGGAATTAGTTTATTAATGTATTGGGCATTCTGTCCCTCTCACACCCTTACAAGACGCCTCACGGTGGACTAGAATAGAAGACCGGTGCAGGTGGTCAAAATCCCGGACGCGTTTTGAGCTCCAGAGTCACTAAATGGGACTCGAGCCGAACGTGTGACGCCACCAATAGATTGCTCGCCGAACGAGGAGTCCATTGGTGGGGTCACACGTTCCGTTCGAGTTCCATTAAGCGAAACTGGAGCTCAAAACGCGTCTTGAGTTTTCGCCGCCTCCACCGGTCTTCTGGCCCACTGTGGGACGGCCCGTCACAAGCCAGCCTCGCAGCGCCACTTGAAAAGCCATTGAGTGGCCATTGGACGGCCCGGCGCCTGCCCGTGCCAAACCAGCCGAACCGCGGGGCTTCCCGCAAGGCTTTGCCGCAGGGCTGGTCGACCAGCCGACGCAAAAATAACAGGGGAGCCCGAGGAAAAATGAAAGACCACCCCTCCTTAGATGACTTGGAAACACTCGAGTAGCTTTTACAGTGCGGTCTGCATTTTCCTTCCCAGCCAGCCATTGTGTTGCCGGCTGCAGCGTGGCCGGCCCGTCGGCCCGCGGCCCTGAGCAAGGGCAAGCTCACAGCCTTCACTGTTATTCCTGGGTGTTCAATAACTAAGCGCCTTAAGGCGTTTGCCTCAAAAACCTAGACGCCTTGATGCGCTTAGTTACTCAACGCCTAAGGCGTTTAGTTACTCAACGCCTAAGGCGTTGAATTACAAGACACCTTTGCTTGGCCTGTACCCACCACAACAGCAGTGGGAGTACTAATGCAATACAAGCTGCCTCTTTCCATTGCCTCAAGGCGTCTAACTACTATACGCCTTCCAAGGCGTTTAACTGCTAGACACCTTGGAGGTGTGCAGAGGCTGAACAGCTTGACTGTCTTTGAATACAGCCATGCCATCCCTTGTTTGAACCAAGGTGTTTAGCAGCTACGCACCTTTGAAGGTGTCTTACCATTAAACGCCTTGCAAGGCGCGCAGCAGTTAAACACCTTGACACAATGGGCCAGGGCAGCCTGCACTGCTAATGTATGCATGGAGATTTGACCATATTTTTCCATTTGTTTTAATAATCTACACATACCTGTCAAAAATTAGTTTATGATGCTGAGTTGTCAATATCCAATTAAGGATGGAGACGGGTGTTGTCAATACGTGTGACCAAACCGCAGAATGTTTTTGTCAATGAATAGCAGTCGTCACTTTCTATTGTCCTAAAATTAACTTGAGTCTTATTGTTGGTTGCAAAGTAAATTAACACAAAGGCAGCAATATAAATTTGGCCTTGAAGGAAAGAAGCACAAATATAAGTCCTTTTCTCCATTGTGAAGAATCCACAATGGACCAGGCGCTGGTGAGGTTGGGCTGCCCCAGTAGATGGAGACATTTTCAGAGTTTAGAGGCGTGTCAACATATGTGACGCAATGTCACATCCCCTTCGTTCGATTCGATTCATGATTTCACTGCCACGAGGCGCTCAAATTCGTGTGCAACAGTCTAAAAACGAAATAAACCGAGCCAAGAAGCACACACGAACTCGCACGTAAACATTTGCGACGCAACAAACAAAATGCTGCCAACCTATGAAATGAAAAGAACGTCTGGTTTTTTTTTTCGTTCTTGTCTTTTCATTTCATAGGTTGGCAGCATTTTGTTTGTTGCGTCGCAAATGTTTACGTGCGAGTTCGTGTGTGCTTCTTGGCTCGGTTTATTTCGTTTTTAGACTGTTGCACACGAATTTGAGCGCTTCGTGGCAGTGAAATCATGAATCGAATCGAACGAAGGGGATGTGACAGCGCGTCACATATGTTGACACGCCTCTAAACTCTGAAAATGTCTCCATCTACTGGGGCAGCCCAACCTCACCAGCGCCTGGTCCATTGTGGATTCTTCACAATGGAGAAAAGGACTTATATTTGTGCTTCTTTCCTTCAAGGCCAAATTTATATTGCCGCCTTTGTGTTAATTTACTTTGCAACCAACAATAAGACTCAAGTTAATTTTAGGACAATAGTAAGTGATGACTGCTATTCGTTGACAAAAACATTCTGCGGTTTGGTCACACGTATTGACAACAGCCGTCTCCATCCTTAATTGGATATTGACAACTCAGCATCATAAACTAATTTTTGACAGGTATGTGTAGATTATTAAAACAAATGGAAAAATATGGACAAATCTCCATGCATACATTAGCAGTGCAGGCTGCCCTGGCCCATTGTGTCAAGGTGTTTAACTGCTGCGCGCCTTGCAAGGCGTTTAATGGTAAGATACCTTCAAAGGTGCGTAGCTGCTAAACACCTTGGTTCAAACAAGGGATGGCATGGCTGTATTCAAAGACAGTCAAGCTGTTCAGCCTCTGCACACCTCCAAGGTGTCTAGCAGTTAAACGCCTTGGAAGGCGTATAGTAGTTAGACGCCTTGATGCAATGGAAAGAGGCAGCTTGTATTGCATTAGTACTCCCACTGCTGTTGTGGTGGGTACAGGCCAAGCAAAGGTGTCTTGTAATTCAACGCCTTAGGCGTTGAGTAACTAAACGCCTTAGGCGTTGAGTAACTAAGCGCATCAAGGCGTCTAGGTTTTTGAGGCAAACGCCTTAAGGCGCTTAGTTATTGAACACCCAGGAATAACAGTGTTGTCTGTTTTGCGGGGCTGCCAATCTGTCGAGAATGCCGCCGTGTGCCGCCGGGATGACGCAAGGCCAAGGCCAGCCGGGCAGAGACTCGTGCCTAGGCCCCTCAGGCCTCGCACCTGGAGTAGACATGCAGCACACAGTGGGCCAGAAGACCGGTGGGGGCGGCCAAAATCCCGGACGCGTTTTGAGCTCCAGAGTCGCTGAATGGGACTCGAACCGAACGTGTGACCCCACCAATGGATTGCTCTCCAGGCGAGGAAATCCATTGGTGGTGTCACACGTTCGGTTCGAGTCCCATTTAGCGACTCTGGAGCTCAAAGCGCGTCTGGCGTTTCGGCCGCCTCCACCGGTCTTCCGGCCCACTGTGCGGCCGACCCACGCAACAAAAAGGTAACATTTCCGTTTGCAAAAAGGTTTCCCTCCTCCACACGTGCAAGCGTGGAAACCTCCGGCCGCATGATCGGGACCTTGGTCAATGGACGCCGCCACCGTTCGGCGAGGACGTCCGAGCCGAGGACGCCGCCCAGCGACCGTCTCTGTCGCTTTCGTGCGCACAGTGGGCCGGAAGACCGGTGGAGGCGGCCGAAACTCTAAACGCGTTTCGAGCTCCAGAGTCGCTAAATAGAACTCGAACCGAACGTGTGACCCCACCAATGGATTCCTCGTTCGAAGAGCAATCCATTGGTGGGGTCACACGTTCGTTTCGAGTCCCATTCAGCGTCTCTGGAGCTCAAAACGCGTCCGGGGTTTTGGCCGCCTCCACCGGTCTTCTGGCCCACCGTGGTGCGGCCTTCCCTGGGGGTGCGAGAGAGACCGACACACTGCTGAAGCGCGGAGGCATGGCCCAGGGGTGCGGGACCCAGCGTGAGTCAGCCTCGAGGGGTGTCAGCTGCCTGTCAAACAAAAATGTTTTCCTCCCAACGGGACGCAAAAAACGAACAGGAAAATACCGCCAAGGTGCGCCGCTTGGCAGCGCCACCGCTCCACTGCTGACCGATGCCCAGAGTCGTCGCTCTGTCTCTCTCGCACCCACACGGCGCGCCCCGCGAGTGCGACAGAGACAGAGCGACCAAAGCGACTCTCGGTTTCGGTCTGCTGGCGTGCGAATCGGAGGCCAAACCCGACTCGGTGTGGTGAATCATGGCGAAGGGTTTGTTTGGACGGGTTGCTTAATCCGGGCGTGGCTGGCCGCAAAGTCACAGCCGATTCATCGATCAACAATATCAACAAAAACAAAAACAACAACAGAAGCAGCAGCAAAAGCTGGGCCACGAGCCTGGCAGCTTCTGCAGTGCCGTGGCAGCGGCATCGAGAGGTGCTGCCAATACGCAGGCCGCGGCCGGTCGAGTGGCTTTCGGTGCAGAAGGGCACAGTGGGTCAGAAGACCGGTGGCGGCGGCCCAAACTCGAGACGCGTTTTGATCTCCCAAGTCGCTAGACAGAACTCGAACCGGACGTGTGACCCCACCAATGGATAGCTCTCCGAACGAGGAATCCATTGGTGGGGTCACACGCTCGGTTCGAGTCATGGTTAGCGACTCTGGAGCTCCAAACGCGTCCGGGATTTCGACCGCCTCCACCGGTCCTCTGGCCCACTGTGCAGCGCCGCCATGCCACTTTTTTTCAAACACGCCGCTTCTTTTTCGAAACGAGAAATAAAAAATGGCGCGTAAAGCGTGTTGACGTCAATGTCGGCCAGACGTGTCGAGGCGCAGGGCGGGCAGGGCGCAGGGGAGGACGGCATCTGCTATTCCTGAGCCGACTCGCCTCGTCTCACCTGCACACTCATTCCGAGAGTCGTATCCGTCGCTCTGTCTCTCTCGCACTCGTGGGGCGTCCCGTAAGGGTGCGAGAGAGACAGAGCGACGAAGACGACTCTCGGAATCGGTCTACGGCACTCGCCACCAATGGATTGCTCTCCGAACGAGGAATCCATTGGTGGGGTCACACGTCCGGTTCGAGTCCTGTTTAGTGACTCTGGAGCTCAAAACGCGCCTAGAGTTATGGCCGCCTCCACCGGTCTTCTGGCCCACCGAGCGGTGCCACCACGCCATCTGGCGGCGGGCAGCGCAACCACGAACGGCAGGACGGGGTAGCGACGCGGCCCCGCGGTCGAGGGGCTGACCGACCGGGGACCGTGTCGAGCACCGCGGACTGAAGACCAGCCCACAGTGGGCCAGAAGACCGGTCGAGGCGCACAAAACTCAGAACGCGTTTTGAGCTTCAGGGTCGCTAAATCGGACTCGAACCGAACGTGTGACCCCACCAATGGATTGCTCTCCGAACGAGGAATCCATTGGT